TTTCTTTCTTTCTTTCTTTCTTTCTTTCTTTCTTTCTTTCTTTCTTTCTTTTTTTTTGAAGTGGATCATGATTTATCTGTTTTAATTATTTTAATCCCCACCCCAAGTGGTTTCAAATGCATTCTTAAAGGAAGTGAACTATTGTTATAAATTCTGGGAAGAAAGTTATGATTTAGGTGAAAATGATGTGGTGGTAGGAAAATGAAACAGATTCACTTTATGATATAAAATAAAGTCGTTCCAGAGCTCATATTATTAACAGTACTGACTACTTCAACGAAAGTAGAACTGCTGTGTTAATACAATTCTCTGAGAGAAAATTTTAAAATCCTAGATTTTAAAAAAGATTTTATTTATTTGAGTGAGAGAGAGTGCGTGATCCCAGGACCCTGGGATTATGACCTGAGCCAAAGGCAGACACTAAACTGACTAAGTCATCCAGGTGCCCCTTTTCTTTAACACAAACACTAACCTATGTTTTACAACCAGATTTTAAAAATTGAAACCCAGTGTAAAAAATTCCTAATCAATATGTGGTTTTTATTTTTTTTTAAGATTTTTATTTATTTGAGAGAGACAAAATGTGAGCAAGAGAGAGAAGACAGGGAAGAGAGAATCTGAAGCAGACTATGCTGAGCAAAGAGCCCAACACAGGGCTCGATCTCACCACTGTGAGATCATGACCGGACTGGAAGCCAAGAGTCAGACGCTTAACTGACTAAGCCACTCAGGCACCCCCCAATTCTTAATAAATTACTTGTGTTTTGAGTGCATGTAAGAGTTTTAACTTTAGATTGAAGACAGGTAAAATTATAGTCTTTGCAGAGGAAAATATCTTACTCTCCTTTGGCATACATAAAACCACCTTTACTCATCTGAAGAATGTCGTGGAGACAATGGCTTGCGAATAGTCACTGAGTTAGGAGATCATCTCCGTTGGCCAAACTAGATAGAAATAAGGTGCAATCCTTTGGAACACTTAAGAGTGGAGGCTGGGGAAAAGCCAAACTGGGAGGCCTGACCTGTGCCTGCCACTGGGTGGGACAAATGTGGAATTTAGAAAATCACCCTTTGATCTTCTTTACATATCCCATTATTTTGTGTTCACAGTAGTCACCCTACTTCAGTTCCATAGTGGTTTTAACTTATTGAGAGAATATAATCAAGAGTAATGACCACCTCCCCTCCATCTACTTTGTGCCCATGGTACACAGTCAAAGCCCTCCCTGGACGTGCTCTGTAGGCCCATGTATGACTAAGAGTATTAGCTCAGGGGGCTGCATACCTAGAAGGTTTACAGTTACATAATCAGGAAAACCCACCAGACAGGAACAAGAAATTGGAACAAAGGCCATGTCATGGTCCACACTATCTTCCAGAATGCCTCATATACAGAGGTACTTGGCAGAAAATTATTTTAACATTGCAGATATACCTCGGTTTATTGAGCTTTGCTTTAACAGGCTTTGCAGATACTGAATTTTTTTACAAATTGAAAGTTTGCAGCAACCCTGCTTCAAACGAGTCTATCAGCACCATTTTTCAATGGCATTTTCTCATTTCAGGTCTCTGTGTCACATTTTGTAATTCTCACAGCATTTCGAATGTTTTCATTATTTGTTATGGTGATCTGTGAACAGTGTTTGTAAGTCACAGAAAGCTCAGATGTTGGCTAGTATATTTTATTGCGCACTCTCTCTCTCTATATATATATATAATTTATCTTAAGTAGGCTCCATGCCCGGCATGGAGCCCAATATGGGCCTCAATCTCATGACCCTGATATTGAGATGTGAGGTGAGGTCAAGAGTCAGATGCTCAACTGACTGAGCAACTCAGGCACACCATCAATAAGTATTTTTTAATTAAAGTACACAATTGCATTTTCAGACATGATTTAGACATAATTCTATGCTATACTTAATAGACTACAGTATAGTGTATACATAACTTTTATAGGTACTGAAAAGCCAAAAAATTCATTTGACTCGCTTTATTGTGCTAGTCACTTTATTGCAGTGGTCTGGAAATGAACCCGCAGCATCTCCGAGGTTATGCTTGTCACTGCAAACAATCGTTTTCTATTATTTCCATTATCTAGAGATTCCACTCTAATTCATGTGTTTATTGGCCCTGAAAAATTTCTGTTGCTATTATGCTTTTATTATGACATGATTCCTAGCCCTATCAAATTTATGCTGGCAAGAATTGTTACACAGGCAAAAAAGTAACTTGGTACGAATGTAGAAAATTCATCAGCAACAGTCTTTCCTACCATCTAATTCCACAGCAAAGAATCGGCAATGTGTGAACACACTTTGTAGTCCATGTAATGGTAAATACAATAGAGCCTTATTTCTGGCTGAAGATTCAAAGCACAGGTTCAAAAATGAGGAATGTCTTTTAAAATTCTGACTTATATCTGGTCATAGAGTGAAAGCCCCATTGGTCTCAAGGGACCTTTTGCAGGACACACATAACTAAGATGGGAACAAAAAGAGGGAAGGCATGGGCAGGGATGGGGGGGTGGCATAGAGAGGTGCAGAGGTCTTGCTTCTGGAGATTCTATATGTATTTGCTTACTGAATCCTTCCATCCTCTCACAGAGTCATAGTCAAAATGTTCAAAACTAAACTGGGGTGGCCTATGAGAGATTCATTTATTACACCAGCTCTAAACAAAAACTGGGGGGGGGATAGATCTTCTGATAATGGAGCTGTTTAGACATACAGAAATGGGCTGTTTTGATAGGACAAGGAAGCACAAGTCAAATAATATTCAAGGGGAGGAAAACGCCTAAGGAGTCTGTGTGGCCTCATCCCACTACAGGCTCAGACCTGAAGGTGTGAGGCAGCTTTGCGGAGAGCGCTAATGTAAGCAAGACATTGCAGTGGCTCCCTCCCAGGCCCCCTCCTCTGCCCCAGGACTGGTGAATGTAAATACTGGCTAACAGCCCAGCAAAGAGCTACCAGCTCTGTCTGCACTGGGGTTCCCGAGGCAAATGCACTTAGAGCACATAAAGATTTCTGTAGGGAGTGAATAATGCTCTACAATCTCAAAAGGAAAACTTAGGTGAAAAGAACTCCCAATTTATATTCATGAATTTCATTCATTTCTCAATTCGCTCCCCAGGCAAGAAATTTACACCTGGAAGGGTTTAATTGGAGGTGCCCATTTCTTTAAACTATGGTGGGTAGCAGGATGGTCTTTAAGACAGGAGGCTTTTGGGAATATGCATCTGAGCCCTGGTCCCAAAATAGACAAATGGAAAAGTGATAGCGGTGACCTGAGAATGAACTAGCAGCGTCTGCCCAGGACACAGCACACCCGAAGGCAGAAATGGCAGAGCCGATGGCAACCTGCTTATCTCGTCTATTCAAACGAGAAATGTGTTCCAGTTAGTCAATTCTAAGCTGTGAAATGATCGGTTTTTCATATTTATTGAGGATTAGCAAGACAGAATGCATCTTACAAAACAGAAACAGCAACACTGTCTGCCCTGTAGGCTTGCTATGGAAATCATAAAGACATTAGCTATTTTTATTTCTTTTTCAGTAAGGATTAATTCAATTTTCAAGTCACATGCATCGTTTGTTTTCTGAAGGTAAAAGGGTTAGGAATGGACAAATGTCTCCTCGCAAATAAAAGAACACACTCTCCTAAAATTGAGGGGTTATAAGATTTAAAATGTCTGAAAAATAAAATGAAATAAAATGTCTGGATCTTATCAATCTGAAAATTCAATAGTATTTCTACTAAAATACAACAGTTATCGAATACTCTTTGTAGTTTGAGGTTTATTCATTAATATTCTGTCAAGGAAACGGTTCTCTTGATATACCACAATTATGAAAAATCAAAATGTAAATTGATTAGGGAATATAAATTGACATGATTGTGAATGACCTTATTTTAGCCAGTGTTGAATACTTTGTTACAGATCCAACCTTTCGAAATGAATGAAATGACAAAGTAACAAACTATATTTTCAAGTTTTTGTTGCCTCAGCTATTGGTTACAGAGGTAAAGATGGAGAAATGACTAGTTAAGAGAGCAAATATCTCTAGAACAAATTAATGAGAAGCTAGCCAGTTCTCACTGTCTCCCTCAGCCCAGCCAAGTGGTGTAATTTACATGTTGTGTTTATTAAGCAAAAGATCCTTAATGTGCTGGGATGTCTTTACAAATATTAAAATTAATTTTATTTATTAATACAAAAATTGCTTATCTTGGCTGAACCAAGATACAAATATTTCTCTAAGT